AAAAAAAAAAAAAAATCCACGCTGAACTAAATATCAAAATTTTAACTAAAGACAGGATCCTACCCACCTCACTCTACTCACCCTAATCCCAGCCCGGCCAGAACTAGCCTTTGGTTAAAATTTTAACTTTTTGTTCATCGTGGATCCTTTGCATTAATTTTGATAGTTTAACAATGTTGCATAAAAGTATTTATCTTGATTACTACGATTACCCTTCTACGCCCTCTCCTGTCTCCCTGCCTCCTCCCCTGCTCGCCCATCCCCCGCCCCACCCGCGGTCTGAGAATCCTCCTGTATTCTGCACCTTTCTGAACACTCCCTAACGCTTCCGCATCCCAAAGCGCCCCACCCCCTTGTTGCATTTCTCCTTCTCCATCTTTCCCTCACCTCACCTTCCTGCAGCCCCCTCTCCCCGCTTTCCCGCGCATCCCGGCATCCTCCACAGCGCCCCGCGTGCTTCCACACCCTCCAACGTCCCCCGCACTCCCCCGGCTTCCGCGCCTGCCGCCTCCCGGCTTCTGTGCGTTCTTACATCCTCCTGCAGTAGCGGACGCCAGGTGGCGCCTGGAGTCATTCGAGCAGGTGGGAAGGAGGGGCACTAGGGCCGGGTGAAGTCTGCCGGCGACCCATGACGTCACGAGTCTCTGCGCCTCCTCATTGGTCGAATTCTCGAGGGGCGGGGCGGGACGCGAGGTGGGCGGGTCAGACTGACCTCAGGCCGTCCGTCGGTCTTTTCTTCCTCCTCCAGGTTCCCAGAGGAAACCGTGGGCCGAGCGACGGCTCCTGCAACCCACCGCAGCCAGGACAGCACCTCCCATTTCGTCCCCAGATCCCTCAGCCTCTCCAGGGCCCCCAGGTCCCCCGCTGACCTCTGACTCCAGGCCACAGCTCATCCCTGAATCAGCTTCAACGCGGGAGGCGACCTCTGACCCTCCTGACACTTCGCCACCCACCCCAGACCCTGCCTCCTGGGTGAATCCTGACCTCACAGTGACAACCCCTCACCTTACTTTGTCCACCCCTGACTCCAGTGAGTTTCCGGAGCTCTCACCCACTCGACCACCCACCTTGCCCAAAGAGCTGACCTCTGACCCCTCTGCACCGTCAGAGGTGACCAGCCTTTCTCCCACCTCAAAGCTGACCCCAGAATCTGACACAACCTCAGATCTGGACACAACTTCATACCCCAATACAGTTCCAGAACTTTCTGGATCCCCAGACCCTTCCACAAGCCCTCACTCCCCAACCACCCCTCAGTCCCCCACCACCCCTCAACACATCACCACCCCTCACCCCACCACCACCCTGCAACACACCAGCATCCCTCACCCCACCAGCACCCCTCAACACACCACCACCCCTCAACACACCACCACCCCTCAACACACCACCACCGTGCAACACACCACCACCCCTCACACCA